CTGGTATAATGCAAATATTTCAAAATCTGAAAAAAAAAAATCTGAAATCTGAAACACTTGTGGTCCCAAGCACTTCAGATAAGGGATACTCGACCTGTACAAAAATAAATCACAAATGTATATTATGCTATGGAAAGTGTAATGATGAAGATATGAAAAGCATATTATAGGACATAGTTGAGGGTTACATGAACTTCCTGGGGTGAGGGGTGGTGGGTTCAGGGAGCAGAGAAAGAAGTGATATCTAACTTGAGTCTTGAGAATGAGCAGAAGTCATCCTGATGATATTGTATACAGTGGACAAGTATGCTATCTACACAGAGATGATGCATAAACAAAGGCTTGGAGGTAAGAAGCAGTTCCTTGTTCCTGAATCTTCAAGTGTGAGGCAAGAAGCATCAGGAGATAAAGCTTGAGGGGTAGTTAAGGTCCAAATTATAAAGGGATTTACATACCATGTTAAAGTATTTATCGTGTAGTAGAGAGCTACCGCAGGGTTTTAAGAAGGAGAATGACAAAGGCAAATCCTGTAGTCTCCACAATTTCTTTGGAATTTTTGTGAGTTCTAGAGAGGAATGCTTCTATCTTTCTGAAACCTAAAAGTTTATAAAAGGAAGCCCATGATAGAAAAGCAGGGCGATTATACGGAAGCTGTCTTGTGCTATGGAGAATACTTTCTCATATGTGGAAAAAGTCTTTTTTTCCAGGAACATAAGTGCTTCCCATTTAGTGTGGGGAAAGAAAACTCTTAAAAGGAGCAAACCATTCATATATAAAGTTGAAAACATGCATGTAATTTGTAAATTTTCCTATTGGTGTTCCTTAAGGAATGTGTTTGCATCAGTTTTTTCCAGAATGTTCATCAGAAAAATATCATATGTTGTTAGTTACTAGAGTGTTTTTGTCATTCTTCCTATATGAGTATAGAAAATAATGACTCAAATAATATTTCAAAGGATTGTAATATAAACTAATTTTTAAAGATAATATGCCAAGTCCCTAGGTTGGAGCTATGCCAAAGCTTGAATGTAGACAGGTTTCCCAGGTTATCCCCTTTGCTTTTTAAAACTATACAGACTCGTGTTTAAGCAGAAGATAAATGAGGCATATAATCAGAAATTTAGGGGATAAATGTAAGTCTTTATGCAACAGTGCTGATAACTCTGGTATATTACCAATATACATTTAAAATAACAAAAAAGTAGTCTTTATTCTGTTTATTGCCTTTCATTTCAACCTTAAGAAAACTGAGATACCATATTAAATACTTTTAGAATCTATTTTCTACACAGGTAATTTTCAAATGCATCCGAGTCTTTCCATCAATTCATGCATTCATCCATGTCTCTTTATCAGTTAATTAATGAGCACCTACTATGTACCACACACTGTTCTAGGCACTCAGGATACCAGACTGAATAAAATAGACAGGGAGCTTATATTAAGCTTAAACTCTTCAAGGGGTTTATTACACCATCTCTAACTCTACCACCCTAGTGTAATTTAAAATTATCTTTCACCTACACTATCACAGTAGACTTCTACTCGACCCACTCTTTTCCATTCTGCTCATCCCAGAGTCCCCATCTTTGTTTTAGATCATATAAGGAAATGCACGTGGGAGCCTGAATCTGAGTTTTCTCTCATATATATAGATTTTCTTGAATTCTTCCTATGTCTCCAAGCCTGAATTGACTCATATATCTGCCTTTGTTTTTTCATTCAGTGACAGCTAAACTTAAAGAAAACAAAGTAATGACTTTCTTACAGATTCCAGTAATCACAGAATTCAAGAAATAAAAAGAAATTTAGCAATAACTTAGTTGAATGCCATCATTTTACAAGTACAGACATTGAGGCTCATGATATGGCTAGTTAGTGGCAAAACTGGATCTAGAACTCAATGTACTTGATCTGTTCTTATTGTTAGCAGTAAAAACAAAAATAAAAACAAAAAAAATATTGTTTTACTTAGGTTCTTTTGATTGTAAAGAATGGAGACTTAGGCTATCTCAAGGAAGAGAGTGAATTATTTCAATCCTCTGTGTAGCAATAAAGGAAACAGGGATCCCAAGGAATATAAAACTAGGTGTGATAATATGATTTGATCTCATAGAGAAAGACATGATTCAAATGAGCTCTTAGCATCTTTGAGTATCTTAGCAGCATGAATTTGTGGATCTTTTACTGTACTTTTCTATTAGTACTACTCTCTCTGCATCTGCCTTTTCGCATTATCTTGCTTCTCCTCTGTCAACAACTTTCTTTCTCAACCAAGTATCTGCTTACTCTTAAATTTTAGTTATACTTTGGCTTTCTTGTAGCATTTCAATGCCCCCACTCTTCTTCTTATCCTTTCTTTGTGAATCTTTCCAGCTGCCCCCCACCCCAGTGCTAAGTACCTAAATTTTTCTATTGTTGTTTTTAATAGTTAAAATCCTTTTTAAAAAAGAGAGAGTTTGATTGGTCCAGTTTTTCTTTATTTAAACAAAATTGTGTTCCAAGTGACCTTATAGGATACTAGCCAGACTTTGTATTGTTCTATCTTAGACCAAGTGCCAACTCCTATGGTTGAGGTGGGTAGGGGTGACTCCCATGAAGAACAGACCATGACTGCCTGGTGCTGCCACTTCGTTAGGGTTTCGGAATGAAGAAGAATCCCTTTAAAGGGAATCGTACATGCAGAAGATACCGTGACTAACATATATAGTTCACAATTATAAAGTACTTTGGGGAAAGTAAGCTAAAGAAGAAGTTGTGCCACCACTGCGTTCTGTATCACTGTAGGCTAGGGAGGGAAGAAACTGATTAGGAAAACAAAAGGTGGCCAAAAAAAATGAAGCATGTAGCTAAGTCTCAAGGGTTCACAGAAATAAAAATAAATAAATAAATAAATACTTTTTTTGAAAAAAGAAAAAGGAAATAGGCCCATGGCAGTGAGTCTCTCTAACCTATGTGCCTCCTACCCTGGCTCCTTGTTCCTCATATTCCTGGCAGTGTCCCAGGAAACTTCTGGCTCTCACCCTCCTAGAACTGCTGCCTCATCCCAGGGAGCCATTCCCACTGTCTTAGTGCTGAGGATGTTTCTTATCTCCTCTTATAAAAAGTGAAAAAACTTAGGTTTGTGGATATTTTTATTTGTGGAATCTCGTACAAAACTTGGGACAACTGAGCACAATGTATCTCATATTTTGTAATTAGACTAATCTTTAGCTATCTTAAAAATATAAAATCTCAGTGTAAAATTGAGTTGAACACTGGATAGATTAGATGTTATTGGTAAACATGTAACTTTAATAGAACCATGAGTTTTGAAGTATAATTCTTTTTGTTGATTTGTCTTGGTGGCCTATAATTAATGAGTTTGTAGATTATATTTGAGTATGAGAAAATGATAAGCGTAAGTAAGTAGAAAGGCAGGTTTTACAATTCTTTATAAATAAAACTATCAAACCAACATGATTCTCTATGACTACGTTCAAGTCGTTTAATTTCTCAGAGCTCAATTTCCTCATCTGTAAAAATGGGGACAATACCTACTTTATAGGATTGCTATAAGAATTAACTGAGATATTCAGAAGTAGCTGGCACAATGCCTGGTACATAGTAGCTCAGTGAAGTTCATTCGTTCCCTCCTTCCCTTTTTTCCCTTCTTTCTCATGGCTACTTCCCTGATCTCTTTCTGATGGCCTAATTACAAAGGAACTGGACTCTCAGAGTATAAGCTTTTTCCCCTTCCCTCTAGTTTTTTGTTTTATTATATCCTGTTTACGTATATGCTATACAAATACACAAAAATTTTTTTCTCCAAATTTGCTTCTTTACTTTTTCTAGTCTTCTCTTTGGTCCCCAAGAGACCTCTCTACTTAAACAATTTACTGTTGTTTTAAGTTTAACATCTCAAAAGCTGCTTAAATCATTCCCTTATTTTTCTAGTAGGCACCTCTTCTCATTTCCCCATTGTCTAATGAAAGCATCATTTCCTTTTCTAACTCATTAATCTCAACTCAATCTCTTCTGATAAACCCTTAGTGATTAATCCTGAATGATTCTTTTACTCTATTAGACTATATCCTGAAACACTAAAAACTTGTCTTCAGTTTATAGTATATTAATTGGAAGTCTTTGATATTTGCAAACTATGATTAATTGCAGGCTCTTGCGTTTTATTTTGTTTAAAATCCTATGAGGTTCTGAAGAAAAGAAACTTTTTCTTTTCCTTTTATAAGCCCCCAAATCTTCTAGTAAACAGTAGGTCAAATCACTGTTAATTAGAACTATACAAATAAGATCCAAAATCTTCCTTTATTTCTTCCTGTCCTTTCTTTTAGCTTCCTTCATTTTGCTCCTAGAAGATCTTTCTAGAGAAAGAAGTCTGTTTTATAACTTTGGTGTTAATGATAGAGATTAAGATTGGATTTTGATTCTATTCTTTGGAAAATATTTTTTGTTACTAATTCCCTAGACAACTTTATACTACCCCTTTTGATGAGCCTGTGAGCAGCCTCTTTCATTCGAGTTAGCTCATTCATGGGGTGTTATGACAATGATTCGGATTAGAGAAACTGCCTGGATATGGTCCAGTTTTTCAATAATTACAAACGGATTATGTCTGAGGGCATTTTCTCTTAGTATTATTGAAATAAGTCCAACTTTTAAAAAGTTTCAGCAAACTTAACAGATGCATTGCTAGAGATGAGCCTTTTATAAAGATGTGTTTTATTTTTTATTCACACTATGCTGTCATTTTAGTTGATAATAAATCATTCAAATAACAATCAAAATTAATTAGCAGTTAGTAATAATAATTAATTTATTATTTTATAAAAATTAAATTCTTATTAAATTTAGAAGTTTAAATTTAATAAGAAATAAATTAGTAACAGTTAAATTTGTATTGATGAGGCAATCAAAAGTTGGGGCAACTTAGAACCTATGTTTATGTGCTTGGCTTATATGAATTTACTTTTCATAGCATGTCTTCACTTTTTTGTTTGCAGGGTCTCAAAGGATATCCAGGGCTCCCAGGACTCCAAGGTGAACAAGTAAGTACTTCCTTCATAAGACATGCATCTTCTCTAGCACAAAAGGCACATATTAGGGAACTCCACTGAAAGATTATTTTCCCTCACTTTTTCAATTTGTCTTCTCAGTGATTTTCACTCTAGGTAGTGCAGAAAAACCTTTTAATTAATCAGCTGCAGATCTTTTAATATAAAGTCTATAACACAATATGCTACTATTATTCATTTTTACTATTTGCCTAACATGTTTCAGAACAGTATTTCTTAAACTTCTGTGGTTTACAGGCCTCTTCGAGAATCTCGTAAATGCTATGAACCCTTTCCCAGAAAATATACATAGTCCATGCACACCCATATACACATTTGATTTTTTGTACAATTTCAGGGACTTACCTGTTCATTAAAGCCTAATCCATAGCTGTCAGTTTCCTGACCCTTGCATGAGGAAATGCAAATAAATTTTAATAACAATCCAAATTAGAATGATACATACATTGTTATCCATAATACACATATACACTATTTAAAAGTCAGAATAGTTTTGGAACTATTTAGATTTTTGATCATGCTATTGTCTCTCTCTCTCACCAGAAAATAGTATATCATTATGTCATAAGAAAAAATAAAGTTATACAGTTTTATCTCTTGTTTTCAATACAGTATGTACTAGGCCAGTATGAATACAACAGTGAAAAAGGGAGGAGATTAGAAACTGACTAAGGTGATGGATACCATTATTAAACAATCAGCAAAGAGTCTCAGGAAGCCCTAAAAGGAGATTCAGGAAGATACATAATAAAGGATACTTGAGGGAAAGACATAAATGAGGAAACAAAGCCAATTTTCTCTTTCATTTATATTAAGTGAGACGGTACACTCGGTTGAGTTTCTGAGGCACGATTTTTTAAAGTTGTTAATTACTAGACATGGCCAACAAAGCGATAGATATATCTGTGATAGGTGCAATCTTGGTTTCCTGAAGATCAAACAGGTGCTGAAAAGCATTTGAGCATTTAGGGGGAAAAAAATAAGAAGGGTGATAGGGATTAGTCCCTGGAGAGAAAGAAAATTCCCCAGAACACTGATTTGGCAGATAGGTGTGGATTCCAAAATGAAGGCAATTTGATACTTCCCAAGTAAGTGAAAAATTGGCCATGTGTCAGTACTGACCAGTTCTCTCACAACTGCTCCATAAGCTAGTTCTGGTGTTATACATATTATTATTCTAAGGGTAGCATACTTTTCAGAAGAGTCTAAAATTAGTTTTAAAGGTGGGAAAATGTATTTGGGAATCAGTTTTTGCTTTCTATTCTATTTGTTTCCATAAAAAAAGAGGCAAAATTTGTGTTAACTTTGAGGAACAACTAAAATAATTTTACATTTTAACTGTGCAAATACTGTGGACATTAAGAGAAGCATGACTGATTTGCTAGAAGACATTCACTTCTTGAAAATTTTGTAAATATCTAGAAGTTGGTCAGCAAACATTTGGAAAGGTAATCACATCATCTGTGTGAGCTCTAATAATAAGAGCTGTCATCTACTGAGCCCTTTTTATTTGTCAAACTATACTCTTGTTAACAACTTCTAGTAACATATTATTGATTCAATATTTTATATATGTTAACTAATTTAATACTCAGCAACACTAAGAGTTAGTGCAGTTACCTCCACTTTTAAATATATTCCTACACATTCTATTTTTTCCACACAATAATCCCGTGACCTGGGTGTTATTATTCTATTTTACTAATGAAAATACTGAGACACGCATAGGACCCATAGTAGCAGTGCTGGGATTCTGAATGAAGTCTGACTGACACAGAGCACGTGTTTTAATGCTCACAGTGAGAACTGAAACTGGGGCAGGCTTCCTAATTTCCTGCTCCTAATTTCTCAAGGCGCCAGTGATATAACTGTATCTCTATTCCTCCATCCAATCTATAGCTTCAAATGAGCCAACTTTTCTTTAAATCTATCTTTAAGTGCAGAATGATTCGAGTCATGGTGTTTGTTTTGAGTTTCTATGGTTGTTGCAGTGGTTTTAGGGTGTAGTTGGCTCAGAATATGTTTATGCCATATAAAGACTATGCTAAAGTCTTGTTTACTTTGTTTGCTGCTGTTCTCGTGTAGCAAAACTTAGACATTGAGGAGAATTCTTTTGTGTCTTTCTCGGTATTATTAGTTAGATCTCTATATGTTGCCTTAACACCCTCTATGAAAATCCATTCAAAATCAGATTTCACTTATATCCTATAACAGATTGGCTTTTTATTGAAGTCAGTTAACCTACTTTGACTAGGAAAGGGCTGGGAAAGGACAGTGTTTTGCATTAGCCTACAGAATAAAAACAGCCTTTTAAATTTGCTTCACTCCTTTCTATTGACATACTCCAATATAAGGTTTTGTGAATGTCTGGATCTAGGCCTGCGTATTTTCAAATTGGATGGGGTATAAAGGAAGGCAGTTGTAAGTATACTGGAGCAAATCTCATAATTAGAAGGCCTTCCCTGGAGTGCCATTGGACGTTATTTGCACTTCAAACCCACACTAGGGAAGCAGCCTTGAATGGTGGTCTCTGGAATTAGATTTGCTGACTTTAATCCTGGCATCCTACTCACTTGCTGAGTGACCTTGAACTGATGACTTAAATACTTTATGTCTCATTTTTTCTCATCTGTAATCTAGGAATAATGATATCTACCTTATAGGGTTTTTGAGCATATAATGCGTATGAAATGCTTGAAATAGTGCCTGGTACATGATAAGTGTTCAGTAAATGTAAATTGTCCATTGTCATAACTCCTCTGTATCTTAGTTTCTTCAAATGTAGAATGGAGGAAATAGTATCTATCTCATAGATACAAAGCAGATACAAAGTGCTTGGCACATAAAAAAGTGCTCAGTAAATGCTAATTGTTGGGTCAAGGCAAGAGAAGGGGAGATAAGGGAGAGAAATGAGAGACATGGATTGAGAGATGGATTCTGAGAAAAGTGAGAGAAGAAACTTTCAACTATGATCTTCCATTTGCCTTTTCCTTGATCTGTTCTTTCTATAGATTTTTCCAAATTTTTAGGAGTTTTAGTGTTTCTGTAATTAAACTAGAAGTAACGTCTTCTATCTACTTTGGAGCAGAGGGATAAAGTGCTATTTTATTACCTCTTTTACACACAACAAGGAGGAAATGAATTTTACATGATAAATAAGAAATCTAGAAAACTTACCATTGTTGTCATCATGTTAAGTTAAGTAAAGGCAGCTCAATACACATTCTTCTGGCATTTCCTTTATTCAAGAATTATTTAATAGGCTAGATGTGGTGGCTGTAATCCCAACACTTTGGGAGGCTTAGATGGGAGGAACATGTGAGCCCAGGAGTTCAAGACCAGCCTGAGCAACATAGCGAGACCCTGTCTCTATAAAAATTAAGGACAATTAACCAGTGTGGTAGCCCATGCATGTAGCCCCAGCTACTTGGGAGGCTGAGGTGGGAGGATCCTTCAAACCCAGAAGTTTGAGGCTGCGTCAAGCTATGATCAGGCCACTGCACTCTAACCTGGGTGACAGAGTGAGACCCTGTCTCAGGAAAAAAAAAAAAGAAAGAATTATTTAATAGACCTAAACTCTGAATAAACTGATGAATGAATGAATAACGTATCAATGAAATAAAGTAAAAAAAAAAAGGAGCTATTTTGTCTCACTTTACCGTCCAGTTCTGCAGCAGTTTTCTTATGCCTTTGGGTCTCCATCTATCAGCCTTCCTTGAGTAAACCTTGTTTTAAATCAAGAATTCAAAGTTGTCAGTTCCAAATGAGTTTATCATCTGTCTAAGTCAGTTTGAGCTGCTATAACAGAATACCATAGACTGGGTGGCTTATAAACAACAGAAATTTATTTCTCATAGTTCTAAAGGCTGAAAGTTTGAGATCAGTGTGTCAGCATGGTTGGGTTCTGGTGAGGGCCCTCTTCTGAATCACAGACTGCTGACTTTTCACGGTATCCTCACAGAGTGAAAAGAGACCTAACTAGCCCTCTGGCCTCTTAATATAAGGGCATTTATCCCATCATGAGGGCTCCACCCTTATGACCCAATGACCTCCCAAAGGCCCCACCTCCTAACACCATTAGGCATTATTATTAGGGTTAGAATTTCACCATATGAATTTTGAGGACACACAAACATTCAGTCCATAGCAGCATACAAATGTACTGTGTGAATTTTCAAATAGACCCATAACATGGTAAAGATATTGACCGCTTAATATCCGTTTACTTAATCAGACTTGCTTTAAGGTTAAGCTTATTTTAGGAAGGAAGAAGAAATTGGTTTTGAAGTTTACTGCTCCTCTTGGTCTTCTGAGGCTCATGCTTAGTTAAGGAGTGTTGCAGAATGATTGAGACAAGAAGGAATTCGATTGAAAAAGTTACTGGTTATTAAGAAATGTACCAGCTCTTCTTCTAGAATAAATGTCTTCTTTAGTTATGCAGCACTGGATTTTTCCATCCCAGATTTATCATTACTGATGATCAATGTCTAATTTAGGGCCCTAATTTAAAAACATTATTTATTTTTATTTATCGATTTTGGCCCATTTTTCTTCAAATAGGTGATATCAGTCAGATAAACCATGTGTAGGACTCAGTATTTTTATGGGGAAAAAATTCTTTCCAAACTTATATATTATAAATACACCAAATTTGTGTCCTTGAGCTTTATTTGGCTTTATTGTACTGTTTTATTTATTTCATTTTTTATTTCAGGGAATTCCAGGATTTGCTGGTAATATTGGTTCACCTGGTTATCCTGGCAGGCAGGTGCAGTAACTATATCTACACATTTCCTTTTATACAACTCTTCATTAATACATTGTGTATTCTGCTTTTGAGAATTAATGTTCAAGTAACAGTCAGTATATTTTTATTAAATAATGAATTACTCATAGAGAAATAATTTCAAAATCTAAGTTGTAAAAACCCTTAAAAAATTTTACTGCAAAAAGTTTTGTTCAAAATGGAAGTGGATCTTTTAAACATGATTGATGTGATGTACGGTGGAACCTTCAAAATTAAAATGACCAAGGGTTTAATAAAATATTAAAATAGCCCTGATGCTGATTTTATAATACTGCCACTGACCAAAATGAAGTAACAGTAAGAGTTAAGACTCTATAATAAACATTGTTTTTTAATAAGACAGTTATAAAAACTTGGGAAACAATATACCACTACCAAATACTTTTATCTTATCTGAATTCAGTTCTTTGTATACTGCTTTAAAAATTCATTCTAATAATTTCATATTATTCACCTCTAATTTTTAATTTTAACCATGTGATGTAGACTAATAATCAAGCAAGTTTTCTTTCCTAGGTTTTCATGAATGGATTACTTCTAAAATTAATTAAATGTATAAAATTACGTTTATAATCTTTTTTATTTTCAAGAACGAGAGAAATAAAACCACAAAAAACAATCTATTGTTAACAAAATTCCATTTTTAACCCTTTAAAAATACCAGAAGATATTGTATATTAGATTCCTACCATCAAGTGATGATATGTTATCTGAAAAATATGTGGACATTGATCTGAAAATTCAAATGTATTCATATTTTTAAACATTTCGGGAATTATCTTTTTTCTTTTTTTGAGATAGGATCTCCCTCTGTTGCCCAGGCTGGAGTGCAGTGGCCTGATCGTAGCTCACTGTAACCTCAAACTCTTGGGCTCAAGCAATCCTCCTGCCTTGACCTCCCAAAGTGCTAGGATTAAAGACATGAACCATCTTGCCCAGCCAGGCATTTTAGAATAAGTTAATTAGAAATCTTTTAAGACAACATAGATAGTTTTCCAATGAGAAATAATTTAATAAAAAGAAGTTTTTGTATCTGACAATATACATTCATATACTTTATTAGATATCTAAAATATATTTGTACTTTATTTAGATATCTAAAATATATTTGTGTATAGATTATATCCAGTGCCTCTTCTGGTTCTGAAATTCTAAAATTCCTTGAATACTTGTAATTTTCATTAGGTATACAGAGTTCTGAATTTTATAGTTTTGAAAAGGATACCTCCTTATATACCCTTTTTATTACTCTATTTATCAACTCTTCAAAAAGTACTGTAGTATGATGACACTGTCTTTTGTTCACACTAGGGTTTAGCTGGACCAGAAGGTAATCCAGGTCCTAAAGGTGTACGAGTAAGTAAGCATTTTCATCATTTTGTTAAGTATGCTTGCATAAAAGTAGAATGAAATATACAAAATACTTATCATTTTTACACATTTTTAGGAGCTTTAAATTTGGTATAAGTTTGGCCTGAGAAGAACACACTTGCTTAAAACAGTAGTTATTTTCATTTTTATGGTGACAGAAAACAGTCTCATAGGGCTAGGTTTTGCATCATTATTTTCTATTAATTTCTATTGCTTGCATAATATATGACAGGTTAGAGTGTGCTCTATAAACATTTTTAGTATTACTTATATTTGAATATATACAGGCATAAGAAGTCATGATGAAAAATATGAAAAGGTAAAGAAATTCATAGTAGTTCAAGGCTGAGATAATTTTATGATACAAAAACTATCAAGAGTAAAAAAATCTCTGCAAAGAGGGACAGAAGCTTCAAGAACATGGGCTGTGCAGTTAAACAGGCTGCCTTTTTTTTCTTAAAACTTCTTTTAAAATGAATGTTATATTTTTATTTGTATAGATTTATTTAACTGTACAAGTGCAATTTTGTTATTGATATATTGCATATTGGTAGCCTGGGCTTTTTGTGTACATCGTATCCATTAGATAATTTCTCATCCCTTGCCCCACTCCTGCCTCACCCCGACCTTTCTGAGTGTCCAGTGTCTATTATTGCACTCTCTGTGTTCATGAGTACACATTATTTAGCTCTCAATTACAAGTGAGAATGTGTGATATTTGACTTTCTGTTTCTGAGTTATTTCAATTAAGATAATGGCCTCCTCCAGTTCCATCCATGTTGCTGCAAAAGACATAATTTCATTCTTTTTTATGGTTAAGTAGTAGTCCATGGTGTATGTATATATATGCCATTTTTTCTTTATCCAATCGTCCATTGATGGACACTTAGGTTGATTTCATATCTTTGCCATTGTGACTAGTGCTGCAGTAAACCCACGAGTACAGGTATCTTTTTGCTATAATAATTTCTTTTGCTTTGGATAGATCCCCAGTAGTAAAGTTGATGGATCAAATGGTAGGTCTATTTTTAATTCTTTGAGAAATCTCCATAGTGTTTTTCATAGAGGTTGTACTACTTACATTCCCACCAGCATTGTATAAGGGCTCCCTTTTTCACTCCATCCTTGCCAACATCTATTGTTTTTTAACTTTTTAATAATAATTCTGATTGGTATAAGATGGTATCTCACTGTGGCTTTAATTTGCATTTCTCCGAGTATTAGTGATGTTGAGCATTTTTTCATGTTTATTGGCCATTTGTATGTCTTCTTTTGGAAAATGTGTGTTCATGCCCTTTGCCCACTTTTTAACGGGGTTATTTATTTTTTTCTTGTTGAGTTGTTTTAGTTCCTTGTAGATTCTGGATATTAGTCCTTTGTCAGATGCATAGTTTGCAAATATGTTCTCCCATTCTGTAGGTTGTCCATTTACTCTGTTGATTATTTCTTTTGCTGTGCAGTAGCTTTTTAGTTTAATTATGTCCCATTTGTCTATTTTTGTTTTTGTTGGCATTTGCTTTTACTAGCTTACTGACTTTAGATATCATTCAACCCCTCTGTGCTTCATTTTTCTTATTAAATAGTGATAATGGAACTGACTCTTTAGGTAGTTGTGAAAATTAAATGAGATTAGCATTCTTAAAGCACAGTGTCTTAGCATATGGCATGTACCTACTATGCAGATTCTATAATGATTATTTGAATTTTGGAATTTCTTCTATGCATGAGCAAATAACTCTAAGACATGTATACAAAATATATTTGACACTGTACAGGTTACTCTTATTGTGTTTTCTCATCTTACTTCAGGGATTCATGTATTAATACTTTCGGAGTTCTTTGTACCATTTTTGCATTATATTATACATCCTTGTTTCTTTTTTCCCATTTGTATTGACAATTATTGTCTAGGCCTTTTTTTTTCAGTTATCAATCATTTCTTTAATATTAAATCATTAGTTAATTGGATTTAGCCATAACAGCATTAATGTACAAAACATTCTAAGATGCAAAAACTGTTTTCATGGCTAATATTAACCATTTTGAAATATTTAGACCAAATTCTATTTTATTTTTATTTTATTTTATTATTATTTTTTTTATTTCAGGGTATTATGAGGGTACAAACATTTTGGCTACACTTTATGTCTTTGCCTCACCCAAGCGAGGGTTAAAGGCATGCCCTTCCCCCCTAAAATGCTCCCCATGTACTTTAGTTGTGGGTTTACTTCCCCATCCCCCTTATCCCTGGAGAGTATTACTGCCATGTGAGCATCCTAATGTTGATCAGTTAGTACCAATTTGATGGCAAGTACAAGTGGAGCCCATTCTTCCGATCTTGTGGTGCCTCACTTTAGATAATGGGCTTAAGTTTAATCCAGGAAAGTATAAGAGGTTCTAGATCACTGTCGTTTCTTATGATTGAGTAATATTCCATTGTAAACATATACCAAATTTTAATAATCCACTCATGAATTGATGGGCACTTGGGTTGTTTCCACATCCTTGCAATAGTGAATTGTGCTGCCATAAACATTCGGGTGAAGATGTCTTTATCATAGAATGTTTTGTGCTCTTTTGGGTAGATGCCTAATAGTGCTATTGCTGGATCGAATGGTATTTCTATTTTTAGCTCTCTGAGGTATCTCCAAATTCTTTTCCACAGAGGTTGCACTAATTTGCAGTCCCACCAGCAGTGTAAGAGTGTTCCTGTCTCTCCGCATCCTCACCAGCATTTGATGTTTTGAGATTTTTTGTTAGAGGCCAATCTTACTGGAGTTAGGTGATATCTCATTATGGTTTTGATTTGCATTTCTCTAATGATTAGAGATGTTGAGCATTTTTTTATATGTTTGCTGGCCATTATTCTTTCTTCTTTTGAAGAGTTTCTGTTCATTTCCTTTGCCCATTTGTTGATGGGGTTGTTTGATTTTTTTCTTGTTGATTTTTTTGAGTTCTAGATAGATTCTGGTTATCAGCCCTTTATCAGATGTGTAGAGAGCAAATATTTTCTCCCATTCTGTGGACTGTCTATTCGCTCTAATGATAGTTTCCTTGGCAGTGCAGAAGCTTTTTAATTTGATTAGATCCCATGTCTAGGCCTTTTAAATTATACTTTTAGGTTTTCACAGCCAGCTTCGTGATAGCATAATAGTGATTTTTTAAAAAGTCACAACCTAATTTTTTTCTGATTGATTTAAGCCTGTAATTAGTCATTTTATATAATAACAAAATAATAAACAACTAATTGTCATTTATATAGAAATGTATACATTATGGAGACATTTCCATATTTTATATTTTAACTTGAAAATTATCCTTTGGAAGTGTGGGTGGAATCGGGAGGGAATTTTATGTTTACAAAGGGTCTCAAATGTAGACTTTTGACATTAACTTTAAATTTGGTTCAAAAGACAAAAATCACAGAAACACACTTACAGAATTATAAGATGTTTTTCATTCATTTTGTGTCCTGTTACTGGACAATACCATGTTATGCATTATATATGAATATTTTTATGAATCATGTGACAAATTATCTTTTGACTGGCACAGTTATTTGATTATATTTTTTGATATTAAGGGAAAAACTTTGTCAAATGTAAACATTTAAAATAGACCGTAATTTTCTAGCCCTTCTTTGGCATTTCTATGTGTAATAATATGCAAAGTATCTGAAAAAATAAAAGTGTGTACGACCTCTCTTGACCCTTTAGTAGTCCTGCTGGTGACACAAAATTACTTCTAACTGAATCTACAGCCTTCACTCCAAAAAGCAAAAGCATATGTGATGTTATTATTTTTTTTATGTTCTTGGTTTTATTACACACTAAACTGTAGTTTAGTGGTGCTATTTTGAGAATGACCACAACCCTATTTGATTTCTTTGTTGGTACTGCTGACATTTTATTTGTAAGTAATTACTCTAAGTAATTACTCATAGCATTGTTGCCTTTAAAATCTCTAACTGTAAAATGTGTTTAGGCCTGTACAGGCTATGTTGAGTAAAGGTATGACTTCACCTCTTGCATTCTCAGTTCATTATCTAGTTCACTGATAAGTATACACCAGTTGTGGTGTCTGTTTCTTTTATTTACAACCAAAACTCCTATTTGGATATATTAAAACAAAAGTTAGCTGATTTTACATTTGAAGTAATGTGTAACTGATGACTGTGAAAATGCAGGCAGCTTGTCATCATAATCCTAAATGCTTTAGTATCAGAAATACTTTTGTATGCTTCATTTTAAAAGAAACATTTTAAAGGAAACATTTCCCATTCTCAAGATGCTTGGCTTTCAAGTAAGGAAGTTATAGTTGTTACACTGTATTAAAGTGAAATATAAGGGAACTAATTTTCTCTCTTTTTATTTTTTGCCTTTTCATACATTCTGTAGAACATAAGATAATTTTAGGTGTTCTTCCTATTCAAAGAAAAATGTTCCTATGAGTATGGCTATACTTAACCAGCTTCCATACTCAGGAACTAAATCTCTACCAAAGTTCTTATTATAGGAAACATAGAAATGATTCCTGAGACATTTACTTTTTTCTTTTTTGAAAAAAAATTATGGTAAGATATACATAACATAAAATTTGCCATTTAAACCCTTTTTAAGTGTACAGTCAGTAGCATGAAGTATATTCACATTGTTGTACAACCATTACCACCACCCATCTTGAAAACTGTTTTCCTTTTTCCAAATGGAAACTCTTTACCCAATAAACAACTTCCCATCCCCCACCCTCCCACCTCCAACTTCTGGCAACCATCATTCTACTTTATGTCTCTATTAATTTGACTCCTCTAAGTGCTTCACATAAGTGGAATAATATAATATCTGTTCCTTTGTGATTGGCTTAATTGTCTTCAAGGTTCATTCACGTGGTAGTATATGTCAGAATTCCTTCATTTTAAAGGCTCAATAATATTCCATTGTATGTGTATACAACATTTTATTTATTCATCTGTTGATGAACATTTA